GTTCATCTGAGATAATCTCTCTGTGACAAAGCTTAATAATATATTTAATAATTAGATACTTGTGTAAAAATCAATGACCAATAATCAACAAAAACTCTATCAATTATTCCAAAATTAGTGTTATCGCAAAAAAACGATCTATAATATCGATTCATATAGTTAAAATACATTATATAGATTCATATAGATTTCAAATCTAATATAGTTCACATAAATACAAATTTTTGCTGCAATTTGATTAATATTTGAATAACTCGCTTTTTCTCGAACATTGCAATTAATATTTCTAGCTGCTAAACATGGTTGGCAGCTGCTGTTTTTATCTGGGACGTTTATGGTAATTTCATAACGAGCTTAATGGTTTCTTAGGGGTTGAGCCGTCGCGTGTAACGGAAAGGAGTGGTTAGCTCGGAAATGTAAGTCGGAAGTGCGTGTAGATGTTGCACTGTGTTAAGGAAAGGGCTACAAATGTACACACTCTCTGCACGCAAGTCTAATTCAGACATCAGCCTGGAAGCGAAGGTAATTCATTTACCACGTACAAAACACAATTCTATTATGATTGCTCTGTACGAGAGAAGACGTTACAAATCATAAGAGAAATGTAACCTATATTGCATATGCATTCTTTGATTTCTAAAAATACAAAATTAAAAATGTAATACGTATAGTTTGTTTTCTCTTACATATACAATTAAAAAGTACGCATAAGCGATTAAAAAAACTTGTTTTAGAATAATCGTAATTTGTTGCTCGACATAGATAACAAATTTCTACAAACGAAAACACATTGTGAAATACTAGGAACAGATAACGCTGTTTTATCATTTCTTTGAAAGAGATCGTAGTTCTTCGGTGTGAGTCATGTCACCTTAGCGATCACGCAGTCATGTGACTGCGCTGTGACGTATGTATGTGCACACATCAATATAAATGTAAATGCTTAAATTGTTCCGAGATAACCTCTCATTTCCAGTAATTTTATCGCGAGATGCAGATTCTGCCGAATGTATCTCATGTAAAAAAAATGCAATTTTTGCTGTTTGTACCGGAATTTCCCACCCTCGAGTTTCCTCTTAATGTTTTGGCTCAATAATGAGTCGGAATCTTTCTCCTGATTTTTATTATCTGCGCTAAACTACATCTAGCTTCATAATTGTACAATTATCGTCATAATGAAATGATTCACCACTCATCAGTTAGCCCAGAATCAAGACCGAATTTGATAAACGTTTTAATCGTTTACATTGCATTAAATTACAGATAATGGCGCACTCAATTAAGCGAACTTTGCGCGCAGAGAGAAAATATTATTTATGGTAGCTATGGTTTGGCCGGAGATTGAGTGACAGTACGAATTAGGCGTTTACATATTTTTGGCTGTATGCTGCATTAGTTGTTTGTTATTAATGCATGTAATTAATACTATATGTACAAATTATACAAATTATATAATTCATTATAATAATCATGTACTATTGATACCGTTAATTTAGCTAGATGAAAATACTTGAAATTTATGAGGATTCGCAGAAAGTTAAAACCAGAATTGCGATTGAAGCGACAAATGGCATAAAGGTCATCTGAAATATTTTATATTATTTTAAAATATTTTGTAAGATAGTAAAATAGTAAAAAAAAATAAAAAAGTATCGTTCTTCTTTTCCACGTTTTATATTTATCTTTTATAGATACTCTTATAAATGAATAAGTTATTTTACTGACTTTAAAATATAAAATTAAAATTTAAGAATATAATATTAAAAAAAATTTATGGATTATATACATTACATTCATAGGTGTTACAATTGAAATTGAGAGTTTCGACTATACGCAGTTTGGTTCGTGTCCGCTTTGCGTTCTAGATTGACATCTAATAAACGATACGAAAAAAAAAGATATGATGCTATTTATGATGGGCGGTTTCACTAGATTCCCGAAAATGCGAAGAGGTTTCTCTCATCGGGTAGAAACGACAATTGAATCAATTTAGAGAGCGGTTTTGATATGCCGAATGACAACGCGAGCGCGTTACACGCCGGGCGTTCTGAAATATTACGCCGGTGGTACCGCCAATTATCGTCGACAGCGCGCGAAAAACGTAATGGACGATTACAACTAACATCAAATCGTGACACTTTCGGACAATAAAAAGTTGGAAATGTGCAAACTGCCCTGCGCGTTGTTGACAAAACGTGATTATATTTTGCTACATCATTCGCGAGATCGCGGCCAAATGTCGAAATAATAACTTCGTGCGGATACATTATAGTGAGGAATGCGAAAACGAAATAATGTTATCATCAGTCCGCAAACTGTATTATTAATGCTAGATCAATTTTGAATTTGCTAGCGCGATTTAAACGATAATTCTAACTAGCGATATCTCGGAATAATCCATTTTTTTATTGCCTTAAATGCACTTATAGTAATGCCAATGTGTATCAATATGATGTAATGTTGTATTGTAATAATTAAATACCTTTGACAAATCGTTGTTTAAACCTATTATATCCCGCTGTTATATTTAATTTTAAAAATTCAAATATTAATATTAACGTTCAATAAAGAGTTTTATTTTTTTACTCAAACGATGAATCGAGTTTTTGTTTTTTGAATATAAGCCTGTTTACTCTTATACTTGCGCATTAAATCTGAATTCACGATTTATGAGACTTTTGATAGTCCTTGATTAAAGTTCTTGTTAATTTCCGCATCTTATCATTCTTTGAACAGAGATAAACATGAATGAAATAGAAATTTTCCTATTTTGATGATGAAATTAAAAATTACTTTGAAGGAATTTTACGTTTGAGAGGGAGAAGTAGAGTGTCAACACATGATTTATTTGTACTATACGACGCAATCTATTGTTAATTAATAGTGTCATTATTAAAAAGTGTGTATTAATTAAAAAATATTGTGATGTAAAATATTTATTTATTTATTGCACGATTTCAATTTATATATTGTGAATGTATTAAAATAAATGAAATTAAATCTTATATGTTTTATAGGTATTGAAATCCATCTCTCGAGAGATATCAGTTATTTTGATCGCACCGAATACATCGGGTGGCTGTCGCGATATCAAATAAACAAAAGTGACGCGATTGCACCGCTATCGTAAGCCGCGAGGAAAGGCTTTTGTTATCGCGATATTGTTTGCGGGGGGTTATAATTTTTCCGAGCACATAGGTACATCTTTGCGTAATATGTTTTCTTCTCGTGATATTTACACAATCGATGAAGCCTGATAAACGATAATAATCACGAACGAGCATAAATAGAGTACAGTCATAAAAATCTTCAAGTGCATTACATACACCCACACATTTAAAGATAGTTATCTGTACATTTACACCGGCCTATATATAAGCTAAGCAATCGTCAGAAAGATTCAGAACGCATTTTGGAAAGAGCGAACTGCAGGTGAGAACACGTAACACTTCTATTATCTCTAACAGAACTTTAATCTAACGTCTCTTTATATTTTATAGAATAGCAATCAGCGATATATTTATTAAAATGGGAAAACTCCTCGTCCTCCTTTGTTTTGCGCTTCTCGCAATGACTTTAATCATGGCTTGCACTCCACCTGGCCAAATAGTAAGCATTGTTTAACACACATTATTGTTAAGTTTGCATAAGCATTATTTGAATCTTTAATTAATGTATAATCTTATTTCATCAAAGACATAAAATTAATTATTTAATACGATCAACAATGCAAAGCAAAAGATCGACAATATTTTCGCAATAAAGTATCAAATTTTATAGTAAATATTTCGAGTAATGATTATAACGAGTACTGATTATTCTAAGCGTTTACTATAGTAAACAATTTTCTAAATATATAACAAATTGATTGAATTAAAAGAAATAAATAATAAGTGACGCAGAGACATTATGCAAGATTATAATTTTGCGGAATGTTTTTACAGTGTACAAGTTCCAGCGATTGTTGCCCCGGTTTTCAGTGTAATCCATGGGCTGGTCGTTGCACAAGCCCAAAAGGAGTAGGAACAGGGGAACAATAAGAAGATTAGAAAGAATACTCGGAGCTCAATAAAAATGAATGATAGATTGGCTTGGACTTTGCTATATAGGCTCACGATTTAATCTTGCATATAATCAACATAAGATCTAAGGATGTAATTAATGTAGTTTGTAATAATTGAAAATATAGACTTGCTTACTCATTATACGACAATTTCTTTCATATTCCTCTAAAAACTTTTTCTTTACATTATTGACTGAAAAAATTATGATGTGATAAAAATAGCTATAAGATGCATACGTATGTTTTTAAACAAGAATTACATTCTGTTAAAATAAACAAATTACTTGCGATAGTTACAACATAATTAAAAAGTCTGTTGTGCAATAGTATTTTTAATTATTATATTATTAATTTCAGATTTTTTTAGTCAAGATTTATAACAAGCAGTCAGTGTAATGTATTGCATTAAAAGTTTACTTTCTTTTTATCTCCCATTTTAATGTACTGCTACAACTGAATATACAAAACACGTTTGCTTAAAATTTTCAATATTATCTTATCTTAAATAAGAGTTAATAATTTCATTAAAATTAAAGAAATTGCAAAAAATTGATATTATTAAAAATTTACAATTTAAAATTAAACTTTTCATATCAATAATGTACTTTTTTAATAATATAAAATATAATGGCTAACATTATCTATATTCTCATTACCCTAAATAATTATAATTCATGAAAAAAACTTCTACGTTGATGCAGTTTACTTTATGTACATGTATATGACATAATTATTTAACTAATAATATAAAATTGTTGCAATAACAAAATTATTATTATTATACAACTGAGTTTTATAATTTGATTAGTATATTATGCAATTTAATCTATAAAATGTATTAAATATTGCAAAAAATTCTAATCTCAATAAAACACAAAAATGCTTTAGAAAAAATAACAAAATACTTTTTATAATTAGAAATAATAAACGATAATTCAATTATAAAACGCATAATATCGAGACAGGTGTTTTTTCTAAATGCTATGTATACTTTGTATGCTCCAGACATTGCAAGCAATTTTCAGACATTTTTGATTCATGATGTTAACTCAAGTGTATACAAGGTATATATACTCGCTGAAGACTAAATATATTAGTTACGATCATATAAACGACCTGCAACTATCGAGAAAATCGGTAAATTATTAAATTTATCTACATTATTTTCAGTAACTGTCGAAAATCTAATCACGCTTTCTCATATTCATAAAAATATTATTATTATTATTCTAATATGTATAACACACACGTTTGTTTGCACATAGAAATCTGACAATTAAAAAAAATTAGAGAAAGAAATATTGACAAGATGAAGTGCGTTATTTTCACCCTTTTTCTTATGATTGCTATGGTTATGGCTGATGATCAGTGCAGCCCTTGGTTAGATTATGTAAGTATTATACTTGCGTATATCACACAACAAATAATCGTTTCCTGCATATTATATTTATAAAAAAAGATTAGATAAGAATTAAGAAATTATAGATTTGTGTTTTCTGCATAACAAAGTATCATAAAGATATTGAGATATTCTTTTAAATTTTATACAGATATCCATGTATCTGTAATATTAATTAATATTAAGTAGTAAAATCAAAATCATTTCTAAATATCTTGTTTTATTTTTCAGTGTCAAATAACTGATCAATGCTGTCGCCATCTAATATGTTCTGGCTATACTGCCAAATGTGTACCAAAAGGAGGCTTGGTTATGCCCGGAGAAGACAAGAGACCTCTTGGTCCTGGACCATACCCACCAAATGTACCAGAATCTGAATTACAATAACAATTATTTTAATTAATAATGACGCTCCTTTATATCTGATTTGGCCGTCTTTTCTTTCTCAGCAAAGACGTTTTTATGTTATATGTTATATGTTATATGTTATATGTATATTATAATACTAAATAAATAATATTAAAAAATTATGAATGTTTTATTTATCAACGATTGTAAAATTCAATATATTATGCATTTATAAACACCGAGAATAAAAATACAAACATTTTTTACTTAATAAATAATAGTAATAATAAAATAAAGAATGCGAAAATACAAATATTACAAAGAGATAAAACTTGTTTTCTTTTGTATTGTATAAAAAGACGTATAACTTCGACATAAAATTTAATTATATAACGCATATTACCTAAAAAAACTTTCCGTACAGATGTTTTTTCTCAATATATGCTTTGCATACTGCAGATACTGTGTGCAGTTTTAAGACACTTGTGATTTATGATGTTAATTCAAATGTGAGACAAGGTATAAATATTCGACCCCGACCTCACATCAGTCAGTTATAATCGTATATACGACCGGTGCAACTATCGAAAAAAAACGGCAAGTTATTCATTTTATTTTAAGTTAACATTGAGAAAGTCTAACCGTTTTTCATTTTATTAAATTTTTTACTTAAAAAATATGTTTATACAAAGTTATTAGTAACTTTTATAAAAATATTATTATAAAATTATTATTTAATTCCAATATGTATAATATACATTATTATCTACACAGAAATTTGCCAATCATAGAGAAAATAAAGGCAAAAAATATTGGCAGAATGAAGTGCATTATTCTTACTATTTTTGTTATAATTGCTATGGCTATGGCAGCCGATGAATGCATCCCTTGGTATAACGAAAATGTAAGTATTTCAACTATACTTGTGCATATTACACAAGAAATAGTTATTTTGTACTGCATTTATTAAAAAATTAGATAATAATAAGAAATTATAGATTTGTATTTCATATTTTTTGCATAACAAAGTATCATAAAGATATTATGTCAAGTATTATATAGATATCCTTGTGTGTGTGTGTATCGGTGAAACATTAATTAATGAGAATTAGCAATATCAAAATCGTTTCTAAATATCTTGTTTTATTTCAACAGAAGTGTCAAGAAAATAATGATTGTTGTCGTGGTCTAAGATGTTATACCAATAATAACACTTGTATATCAATGCCACCAGGAGCCGTGCCAATGCCTGAAATGGACAAAAGACCTCTTGGTCCTGGACCATACCCACCATATCTAGAAGTTTGAATTATCATAACAATTATTTTGATTAATAATGCCGCTTCTTTATATCTGATTTGACCGCTATTTCTTTTCCAGCAAAGACCTGTTATATATATATTATAATATCAAATAAATAATATTCAGAAATTATTAATGCCTTATTCGTCAATAATTGCCAAACTTAACACACACATGCATTTATAAACATTGAGAACAAGAAATGTTAATATTTTTAACTTACAAATACAAATTTTTTTATTTAATAAATGATAGTAATAATAAATAATAAAAAACACAAAAAAATGCAAATATTAAAAAAAATTTAAATATTTCTTTATATTGCAGAGAAATATATAACTTCGACATAACTATATATGTATAGAAAATGACAAACTCCGTTATCTGATCAGAATAGTAAATTTTAATATAAACATATTAATTAATTAGTTAATCATGTTAATATTTAATTCGAATTAAAAATTTTGATATATCTTTCTTACATTATTGGTTTAAATTGCAATTATTGCTACAAACATCTATTTTATATTTTAATAATTATGTAATAAGAAAAGATTCATTACTGCTGTATGTTTAAATTTTATACGTTTTATATTGCTACTGCATATATAGGTTTATTTATTTATTCATTAATATGATCGGAATATAATAATTATCATCCTATTACTACTGTATCGTTATAGCATTAGCACATATAATATCATCTCTGTTTCGGCTGTATTTATTTTGAATATGTTTATAATGTATATATAACTCAGATATAAAAAAGATATTAATAAAATAAAAACTAAAGAAATATTTAGTTCTTTTTAAATTTAGTTAAGCAACATGCGATATGTAATATGTTATTCTAGAAGAGTTACACATTAAGAATATATCTGGTTTTATAATTTTTAATTAATTAATATTATGATCTTTACGAAAATGAAATATATACCAAGAAATAAAAAAGTAAAATAATTTATAATTATAAATTTAATGTTCTATTAAAATGATTTGATGATTATTATCTAATGATTCTCTCTATCATTATTCACCTTTGAATATATAATGCTTTTAATTTTTAATAAAAAAATAATTCAAAACATTAGTTGAATAATTGATCATCGAATAATATTGAAAATAGATAAAAGGAGACAAAATATTTATAAAATTACTATACACATACAGAACTGTACTTACACACAATCATTAATTCTTCGGTAATGGTTAAAACGAATTAGACGACCGCGCCCATTATTATTTGAAGGGATTATCGTAAATACATCTGCGGGTATAATCGGATGTGCTTGAAATTTAATATCTATTATTACATGTTATAGCTCCTGCTATGAACGTTATGTTTAGTTGTTAGATGCATAATTAAATAAACGTCAATTAACCGATGATATGCGTGTAAAAAAATTTGCTTGTGTGTCATTATTTGTATTTTATAGATTTATAATTAAAGTCGGATGGAAATTGACCAATAAAAACAACATCTATCCAGAATTAACTTATATGATGACGTAAAAAAGAATTAGATTGATTTGACTATTTTTTGTTTTATCTGTGTAATACGAATAACGAGTGTTGTATCAAGTGGGCACACAGCGCGATTTGATACACATAAATGCTCACCTAGCACTAGTCACGTTTATATTAAATGGATTCTCAATAGATCCCAAAAATAGATTTCCAGATCAGATCGTAAACGTCTTTTAATTGCGGAGCAATGATTCCACTATTATATTTTGTGGACAAAAATAAAACAACTGTGTAAAACTCTATAAATATTGCGCAAAACACGTATTCACGGACAATATAAATGCAATATAAATGAGCATGATATTTAATAATATAGAAATAATTGGTATTATGTTGCACTTTGTTAAACTGGATCTGACATACGCACGCACTCTTTATACGTTTATATTTTCACCAATTAAATGCAAATTCTCGGGTATTTATATTGTTTCGTATTAATTTTCAACACAATATGCATATAGTCAAAATCGGTAACGCATTTTGTATTATTGGCAAGATAAAAGCTGTTTAAATGTATTTCCTAGTCACTGATTGTCATTATTACTCTATGTACGAATTCATTATCTACTACAGATTATAAGTTATTGAGTATTCACGCTTACAAAGAACGCGAGTATATTTTACGTTGCAAATTTAGATAAAAAAATTTAAATTTTAAAATTCCCAAACGAACAAGACAAAAATAATCGTTACGTATTCTTGAACATCTCATATACGTAGACTGACACTGAAAAGCTCGAAGCGGCGATAGTACTTGAGTCGAACAGACGGCGGTAAATCCGTGAAACGTGAATGTCGCTTAAAAGTGTCAAGCGTGTCTGCCACCGTTGCGGATATACTAAAAAGGTTAATTCGGCTCATGATGTGTCGAAGCTTCGCCGATGACAGGAAAAAAACCCCGACTATTCCTATTCAGCCACTATGGGGCGAACAAAAGGACAATGCTACCGGATGATTCAGTTTCCTTTCCTGTTGTTTCCTGTCAACCGAATTAAAGAACAAGAGCGCTTTGTCGGAGAATCAATGGAATGCACGAGGCGCGCAATATGCACTCGATAGAATGCCGGTGCAAAGGGCAAAAAGCACTTGTGCATTCGATACTGTTGAAATGGAAAGAGAATATCAGCGGAAGGCGCCTTTTTGCATCCTCATATTTCCATATGCGTATAAGGTAATCTGTAATAACCGAAATCTGCAATAACTGCAAAACAATTTGTTTCGCAATGTGAACTTAAGATTGACGTAACGGATGACTACAGTGTGATTCACGTCACAGTAAAGCGTTTATTAACTTTATAGGCATCAAGAGGCATTCAAATCGCGTTGAAATTGCTTGTGTTAACTTTAGAATATAAATGACTGACTGTTAAGTACATGAAATACCAATCTTTCGAAAACACAAAATGTTCTAACGCAAAGAAAAAATTACTGTTTCACTCGAAATTATCACATTGGTTCATTACATAAATATGAGATGTCTCAGAAATCACGTAATGTAAGATAGAATAAATAAGAATGATTTTTTTATCACAGTGAACAAATTAAGCTAATATAAAAAATAATATTATAGCTGGATATTATTATAATCGGAAGTTATAGCTTATAAGCTAATGTACATTACTTTTGTGTAAAGTATTTTCTATGAGTAAATTAATGCCGATAAAAATGTAATCATAGGCGATTTTATAAGTATGCCACGCTTGAGAAAACATAATGACTTCAATGTAATCGCTTATGCGTCGTCAGACACTGGCAATGATACGAACGTATAAATTTGCCTCTGTAAGCATCGTAGTTATATATATGCCTTGACCGTTGTAAGCCAAGAAATCAGTCGAGGTCGAGCTCTCGAGACAGTCAGATCCGAGGAGGAATAGTTGCTTAAGTGTTCGGTAAGTGTTTACCAACACGAATTATAATTCGCACGATTAAACTTATTATTAATAATGTATATAAAATCAAATAGTTAACATTTTAGCATAAATAAAATAACGCGATACCTTCTTGCATTAAAAAATCAATAGTTATATTAAACTATTTAGAAAAATAACTTTTATAAAATAGTAGAAAATTACAAAAATGACAATAATAAATTTGATCTCTAAAAAATGATTGCGTTGTTTGATTTATACTCGTGTTATTAATTAGTTTATATATCTTATTCATTGCAAGTACGTTTTGAAAATATTATAATTTGTATTTAAACAAATTCGATATTTTTAATTATCATAATTTGTTAATGTTTATCTGTTATTGTTTGGCAATGATTATTTAAGAGAAAATAAAATTTTTAAATGCATAAAAACTCATATAAAATATATTTTTGGGACATTATATTTAAAGTAAGCTTAAGCTCATTTGAATAAATAATACTACATTATCACATTTGTTAATGTTATCTGTTATTGCTTAATAGAAAAATTCTTAATTAAAATAAAAAAAAAAACAAGTAAAATTTTGATGTCTCAAAAAAGTTTTTGAGATATTTCGTGTGTGTGTGTGTGCTATGTTAACATTGCACAATCTCATTGTAAGCGGTTTTTTAGTTATTCTTATCATTCTATAAGATGACATTGCAGTACATTTGGCATGTATTAGATTTATTATCTATGATTAAAGTAATATTAGAGTTCTCTCGACAGTATATTAGAGTGATTTCATAGTCAAGTAATAACATGAATGGTAAGATATAATTCTAAAGATCAATGGTTACTTTGTCTATTAAAGATCTAATAGAATCAGACCTTGATGATTCATTCACGTACACCTGCTGCGCTAATTACAGGATAAAACTCAGGGTCGACTTATCACATTATTAGTATTCAGTTTATTACATACGTACTACTTATATGTATATATATTTCTCTAATTTACACCAAATCATTATATTGAAATATTTTTCAATTTGCCAATCTAAAAAATTTTAATCTATTAAAATTATTTGATTACAGAATACTACGCCGCACATTGCGAAAAGATGGCAAAATTAATGCTGTACGTCTTGGTAGCGTTATTGGCTACGTCTCTTATCATGGCAGCACCCGATAAATGCGGTCGACATGGTGACCCCGTTAGTATATGTATTCTTGTATATTTTACTTTTCTGATAAACATATTTTTTCTTTCACTTTCTTTCTTTAAAAATATATGCAGCGTTGCTATAATCAACAAGGAAAACGGAGAAAGTACTCTCAGCTTATTTAATCATTCTATCATTCATTTATGCTTGTTAGGGAATATTAAACAATTCATATAAATATTTACATAAAAAATTGAGCCAACGACGCTTATAATAAGAAAACTGTAAAAGCAAGAACATGCAATTTAATGTAGAAAAAATGCAAATGTGTGATCTCAGCGGTAATCCGTCAAAATTAAATTTATTCAAAATTATGTTGTGCAGAATAACATTTAGTAAAATATATTTTGTTATATATTTATTCAAAGTTTATTCATGTTTAGCTTTTTATACTATCTTAATTCAATATATTTAATATGCACATGCAACTGGTTATTTTGATTTGTAATTTCTCAAAAAACAAATAAAAAATAATATATAACTTTTTATTTTTAAGGAAAACTTAATTCTATATTTCTTTATTATT